TAATTATAACCAAGGTTTTGAAAACTGGACCGATCATCGAACCGTTCTAGCTACTGGTTTAATGGTTCACTGGTTCGACCAGTGGTTGAATCGGTTAGACCGGTATTTAATTTTTTATACTTTTAAACATATATATAATATTTTATACGATAAAATTTATATATAAAGTTTTGTGAATTAAATATTAAGAAAATTTAAAACATGCAAATACTTAAACTAACTAATAGGAACTTATATATATATATCTATAATATTTAAATATTTTTTTTATTACTATTATGTTAGAGGTTAGAAATTATTATGGTATAGAATTAGAATTGATTGTTTTATAAATTTGATTTTATTACGATTTTACTAGAAGTTAGAAATTATTGTATTATATACTAGAATTGATTATCTTATAAATTAGAATTTATTATTATTATGTTAGAAGTTAGAAATTATTATGATATAGAATTAAAATTGACTGTCGTATGAAGTAAGTACTACTATGTTAGAAGTTAGAAATTATTATGGTGTTATACATTATAATTATTATCTCATAAATTAGAATTTATTACTACTATTTTAGAAGAAGCTATCGAGTGGGGAAAAAAAATTGCAATTATATGTGGTTTCGAATTGATTAGAATTTATTACTACTACTATCATAAGAAACATTGAAATTAAATTTAGATATGGCACTAACATCATGATCCCAAGCGTGGTAAAATTGATTCGATTAAATACAAGTTCATTAGAGAATGAAAGTCAACGGCAAGGCATTTTCATTAATATTTTAATTAAAAATGAGCTTGAATGCTTTTCCTACTATAATATTCACACGAATCATATAACTCTGAGAAAAGTGTCAAACAATCTTGTCATAAAATTCGGTCTAATCATACTGAATTAATCGGTCTCAATGATTTGCTCGAACAGAATTCGACTTTTTCCGTTCAATTTGTTATTTAAATTGGTATTTATGAATTTTAAATTTAAGTAAGAATATTATTTTGTATTTTAAAATTTATTACCGAGTTGAAAATGAGCGAATTTAAGAAAAAAAGAAGACAACAATTTTAATAACATCACTCATTAGTATTTTGTTAGAGATAATTAATATTATGTTATATAACATAATAATTTATAAGTTCTAACATAATAATAATAAAATTCTATAAGAAATTAATTATAATTTATAATTTATCAATTTCTAAATTCTAATTGTAAGATAATAAATTCTAATTTATAACATAATATCTAATTTATAACATAATATCTAAATTCTAATTGAAAAATCATATCTTGTTCTGTACTTATCTGAAGAGGAGCCACTCCCGAATGATTCATCTTTTTATGCCGTTTATGAATAAATAACTGCAGTTATTCAAGCCAATATAAACCCAGTACTCAGCACGATTTCAATGTTTAAACAAAAGACTTGCTGCAAAAAATCAACACAATCAGCACGACTCAGTAATTCGTTTGTGGTGATCAAAGCTGCCTTTAACTTATATAGCATCCACACAATTCAACACAAGCAGGTTTATCATCATTAACATAGCTTGATCATATTTTAGTTCAACTCCATCGAACTTGGTGTCGTGATTCTTTCCTTCCCAGATTGTTGAGGTCCTGAAAATTATGAAGGATTGTATCAGACCAGGAATATGCATTCCTACAAGTTAATGTCATCAGAAGGTAACTGATGTAGAAGAAGAATTACACTTATGACACTAGAGATAGATATCCTTTTACCTTGAAAAAATGCAATTACCTGTGGAACTTCAAAAAGTATCAAATCACTCCTATTTTTCTTGAAGAAAAGATCAAATCATTAAATATAATTTCCCCGAAAATCCACTATGCGTCATCTAACAAATCTTTAACTGTAAATCAAATCGAATAATTATTTTACTATTTCTACATGAAATCAATATATCATAGTTTACATTTTCGTCTCATACTAAGTTGCGCTCTCAGTAAAAGTCCTCATTTTCAAAAAACCTTTGCATCAATATTCATTCTCGTACAAAAAAGACAAATTACCAGCACTTGCAGATCCAACATCTACCCAAGTAATTCTGTATTTGAAGAGGAAAAATAGACTCGATATAGTGTCGATGCGAAGGCAATAATGGCACTAATAGAAGGCTCTAATAAGACTGTATAGGGTTTAGGGGTAAACTATGTATAGGTGAGGCTATTCTAATGTAGCTTTGAGTAACGGCACTAACAAGTGCTAACGAGAATAATCAAAGACAAATGGTCCAATCCAACTTTCAAGCCAGTATAGGGTTAGAAATGCGACTGCTGTAGTTTTCGGTCATCTACTATCCTCGTCACAGAACACCGTGCTCTCAAATCCACTAAAATTGAGCCAACAAAATCGACTACATTCAGACCTAGACCCAACTAGTACCACCAAAATGTAAATAAACATGAAAAAAGCTTTTTATTCGTTTTGAATCCACCTACTAATTAGCCAATATATGACACCACCTCGTATTCCCACATCGAATTTCTTTAGGTGCATCGTATGAGGCCTCAATAACTGATGGTCAAAAATAAATTTGTTATGCGTGCAGCAAAGTTCAAAGGATGAGTTAGGAAAACTATCTGCAAAAGTTCATAATTCTGTGCATCCCCACTATTTCCATCCCCTATAACATTTCCAAATATGAAATGTAATGCTTGAATCTCATACGTCATATTTTAAGATATGAACATATATTATCCATACCCAAGAAGCAAACATCAGAAGAAAACCAATCTGGGAGACAGCACACTTAGTAGCAATTTTTTCGTAAAATGCAAGATGACATGAGAAGCGTTCACTCACAAACGATGTTTCTCCCTAAAAAGCAAACACAATTGGTGAGGCCTTGCAAATATGGTATAACGTACCCTTAGTGGATATAAGAGCTCTGGGCCTCGTCTTGAATAGGATTTTGTGGCGAATCACTCCAATCACATCCAATTCAACCCTCTTAGAATTTGAACTGCCTTCGCCCTCCTTTACTTCATCATCAAGCTTAATCCTCTTCAACACCAAAATCGGCTTCTTCAGACTCACTTTTGTCCCTGTCAGCTCATGGTACCCCACAGTAAATGTATAACTTTCCTGAAAATACAACCAAATGGAGGGAAAAAAAAAAAGAAAATTATGAAAAAATGAACAACAGCCCAGAAATTCGGCTGGCTTCATAATCCCGAAATTTGAAATACCAAAACAGAAAGGTGGAAAAAGAAACTTCTTTCTACAACAATATTCAGGGTTATTAAAAAATAAAAGTCGAATCACTGAGAGATCTGTAGGAACCTGAGAAGAAGGACGGCAGAGAAGGCCGATCTCAAGGTTTTGAAGGCGATCCTGAAATGAGGGCTGGGCTTCAACGACCCCCTGAACCTCCACGACTGCCCATTCGGGACACCTGTCCTCTCCGCAGCTGCACTTCACTTTGATTTGCATCTCGTATTCGTGTTTCTCTGTGTATAAAATCAAACATTCAAAAGTTGCCGACTTTCTTTTAGAGATCGATTTGTGAAAAAAATGGGGTTTTGATAAATGGAGAGAGTTGAAGAGGGAAGTTGCGGCCGTCAGGTCGGAATATGATATTGGCGGCAAGGACCAGTGAGTTATGTGAGTTATGGCGGGCTGCCTTCGGGGTCGAAACGGTGTCGTATGGCGTGGGGAAAAAATCTAATGTACAAGGTTTTGATTTGGTAATTGGTTGGTTGCCCTAGCAGCATTTAAGATTGATATTAATTATGTTTCTTTAATATATGACTGAAATTAAGTGAAGTATGAAATTATATAAATAAAAAAATTATTTTTGCAAGATATTTTAGTATTTACTGTCTACTACTTACAAATTAACTAAACATGAAAGTAAATTTTATTATAGGTTAAAAGAACTAAATATTAATCAAATTATAGTAACTCATAAACAATTTAAATTTTGTGAATTAGTAGAAACTCCATTATATAAATGAGGCAACTTTTTGTTTAAGTGGAAATATTATTTTTTTTATTTGGTATTTTCATCAACTCTCTTGGGAACTTATATGCATGGTGATCAAGGTTACCTCAATTGATGCCCTTCTTACCTTTAACCATGTATTGAATGAACTTTGACTCACTTGGCCAAATTCATTTACTAACTCAGAGGCATTAATCATGTCAAGCAAGGCTTCACTAAACAGCTTAATTTTGCTCCTAGAATCATGTCCACGAATTTAGCATCAATCTGACTATTTTCAAACTCACCAATAATAGCTTTTGGAACACAAAATACTAGAATAGTGGTAAAATTAATTTTTACAAAAAACAATCCCAACGTCCACGTACACATGAGCAAGACAGAACAGAGTGATGTGAACCGTGAAGATCTATAACAAAATCTTTAATAATGTATTGTGAAAGATTATTCTTATATGTGNAAAAAAAAAAAAAAAAATGATAACTATCACTAAAATCAGAATATTCATTGCACTTCGAGAGTTCACTTAACTGCTGCAGATAATCACAAGATGGTGTTCTGAAAATTCCACTCTGCATTATCTGCAAAACAGCTAATTCTGCAAACCAAAATCCACACATTACAACTCACAAGCTATCCTACACTAAAGCTCCCTTTTGGTGTCCTTTAACGCCGGCCCACAGTCACGAACAAGAGAAGGATCTTTTACACCTTGTTGCCTTTCCCAGGCATTTTTCACGCCAGCAAATTGACTAAAAGTATCCAAAGGGTAGACATTATCTAAAGATGGGTCTCGAGGCTGCTGAAATGCGATACGAAGTTGTGAGCCGTCGTCCTTCACAGGAACCTCACCTGTGAGTATTTTCGCGGCAAATTCAAAACAAGGGTCGGCCCAAATATTCCCGGAAGCCGACTTGTTAGAAGACGAAGTTGAAGATACATGAAGCGAAGACAGAGAAGAAGAAACTGGGTTTCTACCGACTTTATTCACTTCCTCAATGGGAATTGCACCTGTTAGAGTTTTGACGGCAAATTCAATGCAAGGATCCCTCAACAGGTCGTTCATTGCAGATTTGGGATTCATTTCAGGCTTTTGACCAGGCTTTTCATCCTCCTTGCCGTCATGACTAATGACAGGCTTTTCCTCATTTTTAGTCGAATTTTCCTGCCTGCATTTCGATAGATTATGCTCCATTGAGTTTTTGTGGGCGGTGGTGCCAATCTGTGGCTTGGTGGAAGGCCCAGATCTCCCAATGTTGTTTTTGGCTGTAGTAACTTCCAACTCGACAGCTGGCGGAGAGGGTTTATTAGGCTTTTCCTCATTTTTAGTCGAATTTTCCGGCCCGCATTTCGAATGATTATGCTCCTTTGAGTTTTCGTGGGCAGTGGTGTCACTCTGTGGCTTGTTGGAAGGCCCAGATCTGCCAATCTCTTTGTTTTTGGCAGTAGTAACTTCCAGCTCGCCAGCTGGCAGAGAGGGTTTATTAGGCTTTTCCTCACTTTTGGTCGAATAATATTCCAGTGCACATTTCGAATGCTTATGCTCGTTTGAGTTTTTGCGGGCAAAGGTGACAATCTGTGGCTTGTCCGAAGGCCCAGATCTACTGATGTTGTTTTTGGCGGCAGTAACTTCTTCCGATTTGCCAGCTGGCAGCGAGGCTGCAAGTGCTCCGGATTGTTTGCTCGTCTTAATTTCGGGGGATTGTGATGGAAGATCAATTTCCTCACGAGCGATTCTTTTTGGCTTTCTATGTGGCAAGTCGCTCGCCGATTTGCTATTTAGGGTTTTTCTCTTGTTGTTGTATGATGGGCTTTCATACTGTTTGTTATTTAGTGTTTTTCTCTTCTTGTTGTATGATGGGCTTTCATGCTGTTGTTGACTGTCGCCTGTGGAATTATTTTCCTTTACTTTCTCCTCCAACATATCGCTCTCAGATGGGATAATAATTTTCTTGGCAGCCTCTCCCGAGCCTGCAAAAGCTGGAAGTGAGGAAAATCAATCTCCACTGAGAAATCATTGAAAAAAGGAAGATTTTACTCTCTGCTTGAATACGAGTATTAATGCCAATCCATACTAAATGTATCTAAGTGTTTGCAAGATGGAAACCTAATCAGTCGTTTGGCAATAACTAATAAGAAGAATTTTAATAAGTAGCCAGAGGTTTGGCCTTCCAGAATACCAAATAGCCACTTAAGATATTACAAACACCAAAATGAGGTTAGTGAGAGTGCAATTAGTTAAACAGAAGCAACTACAAATGAGCATTTTGTAATTTGGAACAATCGCTAGGTTTTTTTTGTAAGAGGCAACTTCAGGGTATCTATTCATGATTAACCCTTTGATTATATCTTTTCATAGATTAGATCAACACAAAATCAAGCAACACTGAACTAGTAATATAAAAGATGAAATTTTCTGATAAAATGGCAGTCACCTGATCGTAAGGACTTATCTTTCTGTTTTCTGACTGTCAGTCTCATACTTTGTCTTCTTCCACCTTCAACTTGTTCATTTGCATTTACTTGTCGCAGCTTATGTGGGAGATCTCCACCCACACAGTCGTGTTTGTTATCTCCATGCTCTTGAATAGGCGTATCTTGGTTTTTAACTTTTGACCCTGCAAATGCAAATTATTATATATGATAGTTCAGCAGAACAATAATGAAATTACATAGGAACTCCCAAAAAACATCATTTCAAAGCCTCTTATTCTAAAATATTAATTTAATTACATAATAACTGTAAGACACATATTTTCTGCATTTCTTTAGATCTTAAAGTACCGCTTGTAAAGCAGAAAGCGCATCCAGAGCCAGCCAGCCATAAAAAGATTGAAAATGGCACACATATGAATTGGGAAGTGGAGATGTTAAGTTCACCTGATTTTGATCTCTGATCTGATTTTGATATCTGATCTTTATCAGCACTTTTATCCACTCTGTTGTCAGCCAATTTCTTTCTTCTACTCTTTCTATCTGCAAGTTTTTGAAATAGGTCCACAAGTTTATCAGAAAGCTCGGTAGCTGGTGCATCATCTTCTCCTCCTTGCTCTGTTGGCATACTTACATTTGCCTTCGGACCATCTTTTAAACCAACTGCAAATCTCGATCCTGATGGCAAGAAAGATAGTGACCATCAGAATGGCACTATATCTTTATCAGTGGACGAATAGTCAGTGTCTGAATTCGTCTGTGTTGAATAAGAAATTAAACTAAGAAAAGCTGAAACTTTTCGAAACACTTATTCTGTCCTTTAGCAAGTTCCCATCCAAACAAGAAGCATAAAATCATCCCACAAGAGACATGAAAAATTCATAACCATTACAAGGCAAAATAAATAAAATAACTCAAGAAAATAAAAACTAAATCTTTAGTACATCAATAAAATTTTACAGATCAATCAGAACACTATGTGCAAGGATACGTTCAAGACCTGACTTTACACTTCGTTTGCCAGTTAAACTCTTATCAGCATTCTTGTCAGTCGATCTCTGTCCTTTGGCTCCAGCAGATGACTAGAAGAACCATGCAAAGTCAAAAGGTAAAGTCAGAGAATGCATAGAATTCACGGAACAAAGATACCAAGACCTTATTCTTTCTCCTACAATGAATTATATCACCAAATCACGTAGTTATTGAAGTGTCAAACATCCCTTGCATAGGTCAGTGGTTATATATGACTGCTTATAATGATGATTGATGCCTTAATGACTACTTGACTCAGTTTTGTCCTTCGATGATAAATGTTGGTGGTCTGATATACAGCACTAATACTTTGGTATCACTCGCCTGTTTGGTAGTTTATTTGTAGTAAAATGTATTTGTAACATATTGTCGTCATGCGCGGCTAGACTTTTAAAGTCAGGTGATCAGGAAAAAAAACTAAGACAAATGTTACATCTATAATTTTATTAATAGAGAGAACACAGGCTCAGTTCAGATTAAACCACAGAGGTTAAATTTGGGGTAGTTGTCGAATTCAATAATGCAGAATTGCTTGGTTAAGTGTTACGAGTTTCCGATCTTATTGAGAGGGAAGTGGGGATATTCATATATCATACAGAAGGACATGCCAAGAAAACTGATGACAAACGAATGAGTTAAAAGGCCGACTAACAGATTTAGAGGCGTATCCCAACTTAATACTGACATGATCTCGGACATCGGACTTTGACTTGGCGTGCTCCTCCAAATCCTTTGACTCAAGGTACCGAAAAACTTCTTGCATGGAGCGAAATTGTCGTCCGCTGATGGGGTCAATATAATACTTCCAGAATAACACAAGTTAAAAATTATTGCATGTTGATACATTATTANAAATACATGGCACGCTAAAAGTTCAAATGCAATAATTCTGAAGTAAAAGCAGATATAAATTAATGGATCACTACCGTGTCACTCTTTTTCTTGCTACCCTTCTTTCTGGATCTTACTTCCTTAATCCATCCTGGAGGTAAATTTTCCGCAACAGTCTTTTGGATGTTACTCTATGCACGAAAAAATATTATGTGAAAAGATTATAAAGATGGTTTTACATTTGAAGTCACTGTGGGCTGTGGGGCCTGCCCATGTTTTACACAAGCCCCACATTTGGGAAAGCACAATAAAGTGGAGTTGTTCAATGATTGCTGTTGAGGTACAAGTTCTAGATGTACAATAGGAAGAAATGAAGTTCATGTCCAAACTGACAGACATTAACGATAAAAGATGGTCCAAGTTCAGATTCACCTTAGTCACTTCCTTTGGTTTATCATCTTTTCCAGAAGCTTTCAGTTTCACATCTTTTCCAGAACCTTTCAGTTTCACATCTTTTCCAGAACTTTTTAGATACCGAAGCACCTCCGGTTTCGAGCTTAACGTGAGGCCCTTTGAGGAATTGACATAATACTAGAGACAAATTATAAAATAATCAGAAAAATGATAATCATCCTTTAAGGTAACAAATACTGAACATAGAAAGAAGACTGAATCACTTATTTTGAAAAAACGCATAAAATGCACAATTAAGCAAATAGTGGACATCTTTTTATAGTACAGCAACATTAGGGCTTTCTCGTTTCATACAGTTAATAAACCACCATACTTGAATGACAAATCCCACAGAAAACACCCTAAAGAGAAATGTTTCATCTATAACATTAAAAAGTGATGCACGGTATATATGTACATATCTAGAAACTACAAACAAAAGATCTCCTAAGTGAAGAGAAAAGCTTCCATATCACTTATGCTAGAAAAAACTCGCCTAGGAGCCATATATAATGTGTAACAAAAGCACACACTTTTTCGGACAACTGTGAGTGTGTAAGACAAAGGGCTAAACATCTTCTGGCCCATTTGGGTGGCGTAGTTGGAATATTATCTCCAAAGCACATTAGTAGGAGAAGTATATTTATATTTATTATAAAATTTGTATTAAGGCTAGAATATTTAGCGTCAAGTTACTAAGGATGTAGTTGCAGACAAAACAAAGCAAATCAAATGACATCATTAACTAGAAACAAGAAAACTGATGAAGGAACAACACTCACAAATCACAAAAATTGAATCACTAAACAGGAGACAAGAGTGAAGCGAGGTAAAGGAACAATGAACTGAAATCCAATCAAGAAAGTTATTGTTCACAAGGACAGGGTTAAATCAAGTCAACTAGAGAACGACAGTGTGACTCAGAAGTAGATGCTGCAAAGACGGCCCAACGCTCATGTATCACACCTAAGATGCCCAATCAATACGCAGCATTTAATGGAACTTTGGGGCTCTCACTAGGACACATGACAAAAAACACATGGCAAGTAAACAATGAATGAGAGTGCAGACTGCAAGATTGAAGACTGTTGCAATTGATGCGAGCTGTGAGGATTTTCAGAATCAAGTATGGTCATATGGACAAGTATGCGTCTGTCCATATAAATTAAGGATTAGCTGAAAGGCGGCCAATTATCAAGCCTCCACTGTGCAGAAAATCATGTTCATACTCGAAAGCCTTATCAAGCTAATTTTAACTTCTAAGAGATAGTTGTTTATCGTACATTTGAGAACTATTGTGTTTATCAACTAGAAAACCAAGGAGTGAGTCAACTAGATTTTTTCAGGGAAACCTCATTGCTTTGATATTTAAATTTGTTGTCCGTTGTGGTACTCTAGATTGTGAAGATTTTGAGGAAGTAGTTGAAACTGTTGTGACAAAGAAGAACCATATTTTCACTTGAAAAATGAAGACTATTGTTCATTTGTTCTAGTCCGGTTTTGCTATGAAGCCAACAGTTGACTCCATAGTGGAGCCAACCTTCTATATACAACAAATAAACCTACCATATTCTTTGATTACTTAAATAATATTAATTTAATTTTATTAATATGGTAGGTTTATTTGTTATATATAGAAGGTTGGCTCCACTATGGAGCCAACTGTTGGCTTCATAGCAAAACCGTGTTCTAGTCACTAATAAGTTATACAGTTTTGCTATGGAGACATCGGATGGCTTGGCTTATGGAGCCATTCACACTTATTCACCAATAGTGTATTGACACGTGCCCTGCAATAAATACACTTTTGGACAGGTGTTAATACATTAAGTGGTGGATGACTCCATAAGAAAACCATCCGATGGCTCCATAGAATTTTTGATAAGTTATATCCATCATTACTCTATAAATGCTAGTCTATTTTAAATTGCCATTCACATATGTAAGTGCGTTGATTTACATATACTGACAGCAAGGTAGCATAAGACCTATATGCAGTTGGTACTTACAACTTGTCAGTATACATTTTATGCTGTGTGGCTAAGGCCTAAGCCTTAAGTGACTTACCTGTAAACACTTTATAACTTTCAGAAAAATTATGCTGAAAATTGCAGTCTTCCACAAAAAAGAGTTAACTTTAACAAGAAAAATCAAACCCGAAGCAAATAATCATTACCAACGTGCAGCAAACAATCTAAAGGAACATACGCACACACATTTCCTCTTTCACTTTCCACAACCCATGAATCATAAGGATCCCCAAATTAACCACAACAATTTAACTAAATAATATCAACCATACAAGAAAAAATGGAGAATACACAAAGCCCAATTCAAGATCTTTTCTACACAATTACCTTGTCTTTCTTTCCAGAAGTCCGAACTTTCACGTGAACTCTCCAGCCAGCCGGCAACCAATCCGGTCGTTCAACGCCCATTACCAAAATTATCGCAAAAATCTGACTAATCTAAAACTGTATATAGATCTCAATCTTAAGAACTACAAAAGACGACACATATAATCATAAAATACAGAAGCACACGAACAAAGGCCGCGCCTTTGTCGCACTGAATAGTAGAGAATAAATGAACCCATAGAAAGGGTCAGAGAAGGGAAAGGCATATAAAGGATAGTATGAGTTAAGAGTCTGTGTAGACCGTAGTGTTGTGAAATAGTGGGTTAAGTGGCACGTGTACCCAAACTTTTTTATATTTGCATTCCCAGGAAAACAAAACCGCTCAGATCGTGTCCAACATGATTGCATCAAATCTCGTAATTTTAACAAGTGTTTAATTAGGTGCCATTTTATAATGATAAATGAAACTTTTGGGATAAAAATTTATTTTGTTCGGAAATAGGGATAAAAATGTGAATAGTACTGTTTTTTGAAGATATAAAATAATTGTGGGACTATGAATATATAGGAGATGAAAATATATCGGTGAGAGTAATCTGATATTAGAATAATAATATAATGATTGTTAGTTAAAAAATGTGATTTTTTATGGGGTTTTTCTTAATATATTATACTAGTTAATTAATATTTTTATTATTGTGTTGATGGGTTGTAGAGGAAAAAATGAAATGCGGTGAAATCAAAATTCATTTATTGCAAATCACATATGAGTGAGGGGGTTGTATCCTGTCGGGAGTAATTTGATTTAATAATATTAGTGTATTTAATTTGAATTTTTTTAAATTTTCAAAGTATTTAAATTTGAGATTTTAAAAAGGCATAAAGAGACAAATCATGTCGGAGTGGGGGTGTATATCCCTCGACTAATAATGATCTCAATGAGATTTTAAGAATATTAATATATTAAATTTAGATTTTTTAAAACTTTTAAAAATATTTTAATTTGAGATTTCAGGGTTTTAAAAAGTCACAAGTACCTAATTTGTTTATGAAGATTTAAAAACAAAACATATAAATCTAAATTTTCTAAAAGTTGTGGTTGAATCAAAAAATCCTTAAAAGTTCTCGAGATTTTAAAAAGTCTTAATTAAGCAATCAAGTTTGTCTCGACTTTTCTATATAATGATTCTGTAGGTGCGCTATAAAACATTGACAGATTATAATATATATTTTGAAATAATGATGGACGAGAGTGCTACCATGAAATAATTTCCTATGAATTTAATCGTCTTATCAATTCTCTGTTGTCAAGCACAAGCCGCTCAATCAGGCGAGCAATGAGGTTTAGACGTTGAAATCTGAAATTCATGAACTTTGAGGGGCCTAACTATACTACCTTGTTCGGATTTTGAAGTGTATTGTATTGTTAGACACATCACATATGTGAGCAAAGAAAAATAAAATAATAATAATAATAAAATAAAAAAAAAAAATAAAATAAAAAAAAAAAAAAAATGCAGCACTTGTGTAGGCATCCAACCTCAGGCGCCCCAAGTAAAACTTATAACTGGCTTTTGTGAGCTCCCTCAAATTGCACACACCTTTACTTAGTACGTTTATCTTTTGTATTTCAATTCTAAACGTTGGTTGAAAACATTTTCACAACTTTACATACTTTCATAAATAAATCTATTCTTTAAGAAACAACATGAAAGAAATAGGTATGCTTCCATGCAAAAGGAAACATTTTCAGGTCAGACTAGATCAAAATTATGCAGCCACTATGTTACTTAGTAGGTTATTTAACAGAAAGCCTAGAAAATGGAGATGGGCATTTGTTTCAAAATCATGTTCCAATGCATTTTTCATTATTGGATGACTGACATGTGTCCATTATGACATCACAGTTATATACGTGTCAATCATCCAACTTCCAACAGGAACTAGAAGATGTGCTTCAATCCAACTCACCAAGGGAACCCTACTTCATAGAACATCATTTGTACTTTGTTCTTACAACAACACGAACCTCATATAGAGGATTAAGGAAAAGATAAGCTAAAATAACTGAAAGAATGTAAACCTCCCTAGGGACAAGATGATAATCCATAACTAGATTGGCTGCCACAACCTAGGATACAAGTTGCCATCAGTTGAAAATCTTGATATTTGTATTGGGATCGAAAGACGGAACTCAGTTCTGTTTACTTTTACTCGTTTCAAAAATCGAGATTCAGACACTGTTTCAACTAATATAACTATTTCCTTTGATGAAATACAATGGACTCCTGAAAATTCAGAGACACTTGTGCTTTTGTGTATAATAGTCACAGGCCAAGGGGATTGTACGGGCAGCCATTTATACACAAGGAAAAATGTGGTTTGTGACGTTTGTTCAAATTCAGGATACATCAAACGACTTTGCAAAAAGTATGGTATTGTTGAANAGAAAAGTTATTCTTTGGTAGAAAAGAGCACTCAAACATACTTCCTCATACACACTTTTTTTTTTTTCCTCATACACACTTGACAACAATAATTTGTTTAACTTCCTCACAATTAAAACAGGGACAAGACTTTAACAGCAGTTAGAAAAGAAATGGATACCCAAGGATGTCAGCTCAGACATAGCAGACTCGTGTTGGATTCAACCATTTTCAAGAGTCATATTAAAATAAATTTAAGTCATCCAGGTTGTAACTTGGACTGCTTTAGATAAAAATACCCAAAATTCATACTCTGAAGTAATATACTCTTACTTATTTTTCGTCAAAATCACCTGAGAAAAGATGTTTTAACAACCAACAGATGAAAAGCACAAATTCATGAACACTCTATATCTCCGAGTCAAACAAAAAAGTAGATCCTCACTGTAAAACAAGTTACAGAGAAAACTAGAGAGATCATAACTAACATCATATAGCTGTTCTTGCTAATTCAAATGACTTTAAGAAAACAAAACAACGTTGACTAAAACCAGGATCACTTGCTCTAAATTCCAAAAATCAACATAGAACTGCAAACAAGACATGTCTCACAATGTTCTAAAATATTCAGGCTAGACAGTCTATAGGCGCCATGACTTTGGCTTAATTGGCCTTTCTAATGGTTTATGGAAAACTATAAGATAGTTAATGGCATTCCAAATGAAAAATTAAAGAAACTTGGGGACACCCGTATATAAGGGCACAACTTGAATATGATGCATCAAACCTTCTAGCTTATAAGCCATACACCCTAAGTTACTAGCAATTTATACCAAAGACGTTTCAAACATATTACTCAAACCAAACCTGTTGCCTAATAGTTCTAGCGACAAAGAGCTCCAAAATTTCAAATGGCACAAATGGGCACGATGATCATATGAAATTGGGAAGAAATATTTATCTAGACCAAAACATTTGCAACAAATTAACAGGCTTTCAGATACGAAACATGGTCAAGTAAACATTGAAATCGTCTTTTCCAACATTGAAGTCAAGTTCACATCGATTAGTCCACATATAACTTCACACTCCATTACAAGAATAATTAAATCACCAAATTGTTCAGTAACTGGAGTTCACCCTCAAAGCAACAAACTGTATTTACAGACTTCACCACACAGTCATAAGCTATAGCAAGACAAGTTAAAAGTTCTTACATCCGGTACTCAGCATAACGGTCATCCCTTGTGGTGGAAGCCAATTGACTCTTCTCTTCCTCATACTTCACCCCTTCCTCCAACACCAGGCCTCCTAGGGCTCCGGACACATCTCCCACCGCCAAGCCCGTCTCCACTCCAATTCCAGGCTTGCTTGCACCTGGCTTGTCATAGTCATAAGATGTGTAATCCACTGGAGCACTTGGGCCGGGCCCTAAGTTCGACTGCCGCTCGAAAAAGGGCCGAGGAGGTGGCCGAGGGTGAGAGTAATAAGACGAATAGTATCCCGAGGACTGATCGGAGTATGAATAGTATGGCTGTGTTAGCGGCGGACAGTAAGATGGCGGCGGGGGTACTGAGGAATACGGAGAAGGAAAGTATGACCGGTAGGGCGGAGGGGGAGCGGAGGAGTAATAATAGCCGGAAGGAGGGGTAGTTTGGTAATTCTCCGCGGGGTGCTCGATCAGGCCAAGTTTGAGGCGGATCTTGCCCTGGGGGCGGCCGGAGGGTCGGCGGAGCTCGAAGGACCTGATTCGGACCGGCGAATCGTCCGATTCGACAAGGAGATCCCGGAGCTCGACTCGGAGGGTGCCAACCAGGTACTTGGAGGTGTCCGAAGGTCTAGAGTGGAGGATCTCGAGGGTAAGGGAGGAGTCCTTGGGCGGGAGGCTAAACGGCAGGACGAACCGCTCGTTCCATACGGGCCGGGTGGAGCCCAAATCGTCGGCCTTTGTGAACTGCCGCCGGTCGGGATCGATCCACAGGACGGCGTACGGCTTCAGATCGCCCTTCCTCCAGTTGACGTTCTTCAGGTGTTTGGCAGAGACTACTGTGACCTCCAGATCGTAGCACTTCTGCCGCGGTGGATAGGCGCTGCCGGAGGCCATCGGGGAGTAGATTCGGTGGTGAGGGATAAAGTGCGCCGCGATAAAAGGGGTTGAGTCGAATGCGCTATAGATTATGTTTGTAGAATAATATAGTTCTACTAATACGACACCCGTGTATTACACGGGTTGTTTTAAAAAAAATATAAAACATAAAATAATAGGAAAAAACACATGTTTCCATATAAAAGTCCAAAAGTATAAAATACTAAAGCCGATATTATTCCAATTTTTGAAAAATCTTTTTGTACACAACATTAATAGTTTTATTTATAATTTTTCCATCCTTATCCCAATACAGAATTTTCAAGTTTTTCCTACTTTTAACTCTAGATAATAACATAAAGTTGACCATGACTGAATACAGAATGAAACAAGTAAAGTTCGATGTTAAAAAATAAAATAAATGCGAAATAAGTATTTTGCTCCCAATATTCCTTCCTGATAGAACCTTAACCTCAACAATGCGATCTCCAAGTCGAGTGATGACTAACCTGGTGTAATTACACAACCCATAAAATAAATAATGATTATTTATTAAAGTTATCAGTTCTTCTTTCTAATTAAAAAATAAAAATATTAAAATAATGATAGATAATAAATTAGTTAAGATTTAGGAATGTATAAATGCCAAAACAAAAAAAAACAAAAAAAAATAATGGTCGAGTAATCACTCACCTGGTGCCAGTTCACAACCCAGAAGATTGATCCATATTTCGAATCAGCATTACAAGAATACCAACTTTCAATTTTAAGATGTGATTAGGAATTTCAGAGCATTTTATTGCATTAAAAAAAATTAATTGTGTACACTGAATGCTAATTTTCTGAATCGCAAATAATCAGTAATTTTTGTGAAATAATAATAAAATAATCACAAATATTTTTTATTTTTTTTTTCTTTTCAAATCTTCTTCCCACCCCATATTTCGGTTTTAGCCGAATCCCATTCATAATCATAATAGCAATTCCCCCATAAGAAAGTGATATTCTAGAACAACCCGTCAATAAACATGTTGTCACTCAATAGCAGTACGAGATGATGAAGCCCCAAACACTTTAATCCATACATTGGTAGTTGGTACCCAAAAACAAAAATCCAAGTGATGTTAAATATTGTAATAGAGAGTTCAACATTCATACCAAACTCTGCAGTTCTTTTCTAGTAATGATTTATGAACTATAAATTTGAAGGCAATTGAAAAATGTCTGGCAATCATCTTCAATGTGCAGCCTCTATTTGACTTTAACACAAAAAGAGAAGTAATATTTGTATGAACCTGCCAAGATCAAGCCGAAGTTAATACCAGAAGGCACCAAAGAAAAAGATGAATTAACGTGATATGGCAAAATTTTCACGATTGATCATTACAAATCTCATATTCAAAAGAAACCCAATGCCCCTAGGAAGTTAACTAAAAAAACAAAAAGGAAAAAAACATGCTTTCNATTCACCACTTCTTGAATGATGAATTTATTCTTCCCTCAAATTTGGTACACGAAACATTAAATTAGATAAATAAATTTACTATCGGAATAAAAAAAAATGCATAGATTTAAGAACAACTCAATCACAAAATTTCACAATAATTTTTTTCTCACAAATCGAAAAAGAGAAGTTAAACTCATTTATCATTACCATTGTCTTGTCTACGATACTCGATGTGAAGCAAATATGTTGATGTTCCCCACGTTATTTAGTTTAAAAAATATACTCGATGTCCAACAATTACAAGGATATTTGATAAGAATCAAACTCTTTATATTTATTTTGAAATATAAGGGATTACGTACATGGATATTTGATAAAAATCAAACTCTTCATATTTATTTTGAAATATAATTGTATTAATTTTTATCCGAACCAAAAGTCGAAGCATGTAATGTTGCCAAGTAAGCTTCCGAAGCGTGCGAGGCAACTATTTAGGCTATACACGTTTTCAAATTATATTAAAGAGGGGATACTATATAATAGGGTTAAGAAAAAATTATTCAAACAATTTGAAAAAAAAAAGATTTCGTTTTTCCGCTTCATAGTACTAATTTTCCCGCTTCTTTATTTCGTAAAAAGATTTTGAATTTTTTAACATGTCCCGTATTTTCAATTTGGTAATCAATCAATCACAATTGTATAGTAGATCCCATGAAACCCACCAATATATTATTTGAAATAATCGAATATTTTTGTTAATATGATCAAATTTTGCAAGATCCCATTCACTTCGCCCAAGCAACAATATGAATGATTTTTGTTATTTGTTAATTGTTTAACACGTTTCTAATCTAATCCTAAATCCTAATGGGCGGATTGATATTAGAAGTTGTAGAATAATAAAAATCACATCCATATATTTAATTATACATACGTCATTCTAAGCACATGTTAAATACAATCTTCTAAAAATAGAGTCCTCATTTACATAAATTGCCGTTGAATCTTTGACATTATTATTTTCCAAATAGAGTCCTCATATTCCATACCTGCAAGAAAGTCAATTACCTACTTTAGTGGATGTGATTATTCGAACAATACAAAAATATATATAGGATATAAATCAGTTCATATCTTTAATAATATGTATAGACAACCATTTTTTTCTCAAATTTGGAATAAAATCAGTTCTAATTTACACAAACGATTTTAAAAATTAGATTGATTAATATATTGAAACAAAATCAGTTCAAATTTACACCAACGATTTTATAAAATTAGATTGATTAATATATTGAAACACAATAAATCGATTAATGTTTACAGATTTATTTAATATGCCAATTGATAAGAACCCTATTTATTTTAAATTCCTTATAAGAAATAATTATATATTTCATCGTTGGTTTGGTAAACAAATTGTTACGTGATTATACTCTGATTAAACTAAAATCAATCGGATATTACTAATTGAAATATGAATGAAATTGTATCTTGGGGAAATGGACTTTCGGGGATAAATGAAATCGGATTTTCAGGATTTGGTTTATGTCTAATTGTACGTAAATAGTTTTGTTAATTGAAATATCAAGGAAATCGAATTTTTGGGATTCGAATTTTCGGGAAGATTAGTTTTAACACAATTCTAATGTGATCCTAATGGGCAATTGATATCATACAAGAATCCTTTAAGGAAACAAATATGTACACGAACGATTTCATATCATATGCAACTTTCGAATATTTTTTTGCACACGCAACACACACAATCACTATATATATACCTATTGTAAGTAAATTATTCTACACGTCTAAAACATACAACACACGAACAATAATATTTTTCTTTTACCTTTCTCCTACTATTCAAGATGGCTCTGGTTTTTGATACCATTAAAGATCTCAAAAGAACTAATAGACCTTTCATTAAGCTACGAGTCATTAGGATGTTCCAACGAGAGGATGATCGTGGTTATAAAAATCTGCTTGAGTTTATCATGCATGATTCTGAGGTACTATGTCAACACTTATTTATTAACTTTATTATTTTCTAGATTGTAATTTTACACTCCTATTTGAAATAATTGTTTGTTGTATGTAATTTGTTAGGGAGGACGTATCAATACTTTGGTCCGACCCATGCATATTTCTAATTTCATCAATGAAGTGGAAGAAGGGGTCGTTTATGTCTTAAAAAATTACCAAGTGGAAAGCAACAGTGGCATTTACCAAACAACAATATGCACTTGGAGACTTGTAATCAATAAGAATACTAATTTATCAAGTGACCTTATTCTTTCCCTACATTTCGTTTTGTTTTTAGAGATTTTGCAACTTTAATGGACATCGACAATGTTGATGAAACTATGTTGTTTGGTAACAAATTATTATTTATATTTATTTCGATTTTTTTTTTTAATTTACTATGTTTTTTCGTGTACTTAATTTAACTATTATGAAATTCAATTAACCTACATTATTTTATTAACATTATTATATCGTTTTTTGTAGATGTTATTGGGGTGGTTGTTGAAATAAAACCAATTCAAATGAAGACTGTGACATGAGTGCCTACTCAAATGATTGTTTTCTCCCTTATGAACTTGGAGTAAGTACATCTAAAATTATATATTCATGTTGTTTATATATAATTGTACAAAATGATAACTCATTCGGATGCAAGAGTACCTTTTAAGTTTCAACGAAGGCAGTTCACTATCGTTGTCTCTTATGCAATGACTATTAACAAGAGTCAGGGTCAATCCTTATCCCATATTCGTTTATTCTTGAAGAAACCAGTTTTTAGTCATGGCCAATTATATGTTGCTGTTTCGCGCGTCACCAACAGAAAGGGTTTGAAAATTCTAATATGTGGTGAACATGATTTGCCCCCAAATCAAACAAATAATATTGTATAGAGAGAAGCTTTTAATAATATATGATTTTTTTTTTCCATAATTAGATGTTAAATTTAATTAATTATACTTAAAATAAGTACTTCAATATGTTTTAAGTTATGCGCCCACCGTGCATCGTACGGGTACATACTAGTACAGGAAAATATTGTATGTTTGGTAATTCGTACCGAGACTTGAGAAAGCGTCCCAGACTCCCAAATAAATAATAGGCCTTAAAATCTCTCNTTCCTATTTCGTATTATAGTTATACAATAACAAAAAAAAAAAAAACTGATTTATATGAAAGTTAAATAATTTATATTTATATTATACATTTACATATAGTCAAAATTTTAAAATGTAATATACACTTTATCTTATTTAAAGTTTTAAATATCATATACGTACATATAATATATAAATGTTATTTGTTTTCCTCTGTACATATGCTCATGATAGAATACTAGTATAAAGTGTAACAATTAATAAGATATAGTCATACTTTTAAATTATATAATAAATTCAATAAATTATAGAAAAAATAATTAAACAAACAAGGCCTAATGTGTCCAGAGAAGGCCCAGTTTAGTTAAATCACACAAGTACAGGGCTTAAGAGGCCCATTATGATGAAGGTCTCGCTAACCCATTATCAGCCTCAACTTTGGGAGCATGATGGGATAATAATGGTGTAGATGGTGAGTTACAAGGTAAAAGAAAGTCTCTAGGTCATTAGTTGTTATTCCATCATTCCATACATTTCATTATCCTCACTTTATACGCTTTTATATGTACAAATTACAAATGTGTCAGATTCTTTTCTGTTTATTTTCCTTATTATCCATATCCTAATGCTCACTAGAGAGAAGCATGCAATTTACCTCAATGCCCTTGGGCCATCCATGTGAATATTCTTGAATGTCTACTACCCGCTTAGGGATGTGATTTTGGGTGGATATTCACTATATTTCCGTTGTCAATTGCCAAGGGCAAATTATATTACATTGGATCACACAAGGCAATTCAAGTGTCATTTTTTTGTCCAAAACCAAATGCCCAGCATAAAATTAATGGGGCCATTATGGTAATTAAGTACAAATGGAGAAGAACCAAAGCAAATCAAAAGCTGTTTGCGGGCAGCCGCTGCTAATCCCACATTAAAAAACAACAAAGCGATATTTTCTACCCCAAAAGCTTATATTTTTAGCAGTTGACATTGACCTCTAACACCAATAATTTATAACAATACATATATTTATAGTTGTGCTGCAGAATATCACGTTTAATTATGTTGTAACTTGTAAGTTTTTACAATGTTTCGAAAGTACATGGCAATTTCATTGCAAAAAAGTATACATTTTGTGGAAAATTATGTCTAATCAAAATAGGCTTACCCTACACCAGACCGGCTATTTATAATCAATTATGTGGGCAATTGATTATAGTGAACACTGACGGTGCTTTTGACAGCCAAACGGGGTTAAGTAGTGCGGGCGGGCTGATTCGAGATGAGATGGGGCAGTGGATCGAGGGCTTTCTATTGAATATTGGATCATGCACTATTACGGGAGCCGAGCTTTGGGGGCTCTTTCACGGGTTTCTCTTGGCATGGGATTTGGGATATCGGAGAGTGGTTGCAGAGATTGATAGCCAATGCGTTTTACAAATGGTGTCTAGCTCGAGAGGCGGCCTTGGAGCTCATGAAGCGATGGTTAAGGCCATACGCGAGGTATTA